TTAGTAGCCACTCAGTGCTCACTTTGAGAATTACTTATATCATAAATTTGAGCATGTAGCTGATGAATATCCACAGACAAGTGTATATTGTTCCATAACCTTCCAACGTAAAGCTTTACAAAACATTACGACTTTACGTTCGTTAAATGTCAAAAATCTGTCTCCTTGTTCCCTAGTTTCCCTTTGTCCCCTAAAAAGTTGGTAAAAGAGACAAGAAACCTAGTAATAGTTACTTGCAAATGTGCAAAGCAAAGGTTGTAAATAATACCACCTCATTACCAGCTGCTTAGACTTGTAAAAGTATTGAGAGATTCTAAACCTCTGAATACATAGTCATTTGGATAGGTGTGCCACAAACACACTATGAGTAAAAATGCAAATGGACACAGGAGTTGACCACTGAATGGAAAACAGGCACTTTGGACTGCTGCTCCCCGCCAAGCTTCAGTGATGGGCACTTTGGTTTAATTTCCCCCCAAGTACCTGTGTTTTTCTATTCTGCAATAAGAGTAGGAAAACAACAAATTAAAGAGCGTGCTGAGTGCAGCCACCTACCTTATGTCGGTAATGACGACGACATGCTCACAGTCTCCCTGGTGACAGTATAAGTATGGAAAGCCCAGTTTGACAGAAAGATCATTGAAAGTGAAATCTTCCATGTTAGCTGTCTGAAACTTTCCATAGCCTCGATCATGGGACTCAGACCACTCAATGATTGTTCTGTGGGAGAGGGTCAACAATGATGTGAGATTAACCCATTACCTGCTTCACAAAAACCTTACAATGACCAAAGGGATGGGTTCACCCAAGTAACGAGATCATTCCATCTTCGGAGGAAAGCAATAGGGAGTCAGTATAGGCTGGAGTTAGGAATGCAGAATTTTTTTTGGAACTACTTATTGAGAATGCCAAAGTATTCTCCATCTATTACAGCAGTGAGTCCGTGAGTGGTGCAAATGGGTGATCAATTCCATAAAAACACAAAGGCTAATGTTGCTCCCACAACAAACAAACAGTTCCTTGGTAAAGAGTTTAACAAGCCAAGTAGGATTTACTGAGCTAGAACAATTTTAAGAAACAGGAAAGGATCTGAAGAGACTTTGGGGAATTGGTACCTGCTCAGATCTCTGCATTCAGGATATCTTTGATCATTGTAAAATGTGCCTTCAAAATAAAAGAAGGCTGATTTGTAGAGATCCTACAAGAAAAGAGATGCTGTTAAAATGACACTATTCACAATTGTGGAGTGCTGTTGTCTGTATGACAAGCAATGGACTGCTAACCACAAGGTCAGCAGTTTGAGCCCACCAGCTTCTCTGCAGGAAAATAGTGAGGCTTTTGTGTGACAGTCAGATTTATAGCCAGGGAAATGCCACTCTGCGTTGGAACTGACTCAAAGACACTTAAAAATGACAATAGTTATGAAATTGCTCTAATTATTACTTAAAACATTTACTATATGTGTTATGGTTGTCGCTGTTAAGTACCGTCGAGTCAGTTCTGAATCAGGTTTCTAAGGATGTAAAGCTTGACAGGAGCAGAAACCTCATCTTTCTCCTGCAGAATGGTTGGCAGTTTCAAAGTGCTGACCTGGAAGTTGACAGCCTGACTCCTAACCACTACATCACTAGGATTTTTTTTTT